TAAAATTTGAAAGACGAAATCATAAATTATAATTTAATAAATAATCATAAAAAATAATAATATAATAATAATAAATTTAATTCAATAATATAATCAAACCAAAAACACTGAAATTTGAAATACAGAGGCAAATTCGCATATCACTGAGCAAAGTCCCAAAATCGTTTTCAGTGTCTGATGACGAATTTCCCCACAAATCATTATCACTCAATTCTGCAAGTGGTTCTGATTTACTATTATTATTATACAGTATTTTTATAAAGCGCCAATAGTTCGCTCAGCGCTGTACATTCTCTAGCTGGTCTAAAACTGCTTTTGACGTAACGGGGCGCTTTTTGGACGCCATGGGCGCCACTTTTCTGAGTTTCCAGGCAGAAAGAACAGTCAAAATGCAGGCAGGGCACAGGACAAAGCAGCAGGGACAAAATGTATGTGAATTGCATTGAAACAGCAATGTTTTACTATGTAATAATCATTTTTAAAAAAAATGACATTTTTTAAAAATTTCAAATTTGCCGCCGGTTCCGGCGCCCGTACGTCCCGACGTCACAGGGATCGGAACACGGAAGCCGGATGCCGGCATCGGCCTGTACGCTGCAGGGACTCCCTGAGCAACGCCGCATGGTAAGCCCGAGTGTAGCTCGGGGTTACCGCTCTTGGTACTCAAATTTTACCCCGAGCTACACTCGGGAATACAGCTAAGGAGGTTAAGGGCCCATGTACACTACAGCTCCTCAACTAATGTTTAGGAGCTTCTCTGTTTTTTTTTTTTAGCAGCCCCTGAACTCTCCCCAATGTTTTCCTGTGTGTCCATGTACACATAGTCGTTTACAATCGTTTACAGGCAGTTGAGTTTCCAGTCGTTTTTTTTTAACACACCAAACTTGCGTTCAGGAGTAGATTTTATCAGCGTTTCAAACGCCAAACGCTTGTAAATGCGTATAAACGCAGCTAACCGCGTTTATAAGCGTTTGCGTTTAGAAGCGTTTTTTAACTGTTCCATATCCAGATGCTGTCCAGAGCCTTTTTTCATCAGCAGAAATGCATGCAAAGTGTTTTCCATGTATTCAAATGGACCCGGTACACCAGCGCAGTCAGTTCCAGGTTTTCCGTGAAGGAATAAATGGTAGAACGTGCCGCATTATGCTCATGATGGGACCCATAGTGAGTACTACCAGAAAAGACAGGTCATCTCAACAAATACTGCTCTCTCTGCTTCTGCTCTCTTGATTTCTCTCAAAATGTCTGAAATAGTTATTTTTTTTACTGTTTTTCAGTGCATTCTGGGCATTTTGGAAGGTCTCCTGAGGTTATGTTTAAAAAAACGCTTCTAAATGCAAATGCTCATAAACGTGCATAAACACGGTATGCAAATGCAGCTAAACTGACGTTTTTTAACCTACGTTTTCCAGCAGTCAGTTTCCATCGTTCAGAAGAGTTTTCCAAACGTCCCGTGTACATGGAGCCTAAGACACTTGTTTTTGTATATACCCACCTATAGCCATGTATTACATTTACCCTCTGGTGGTTGGAGGGTGGCAGTGCAAGTTGTGCTGGCTCTCTCTGCTGCTGCCATCCCCCCTGCTGTGCAGCCCAGCCCTCAACAGGCCCAGGGGTGGTGGAAACCTCAAGGGGTGGTGGAGACCTCAAGTATATCTAAAGGCAAACCACTTTTTTGGGTTTAGAGAGAGTGGAGATAGGTGAAAACACATGTCTGGTTTTTATTGCTGTCTGTACCCCAGTTAGGGATAACCAGGGGTGAGGGTGAAAGAAAATCCCAGTCACCAGAACAGAAATAGAGGGGAATTCTTCAAATTGGCCCACTAGCTCTGATGACCCTGGTGGAGAGGATTCCTTCACTTTGGAGGTATTCTTCTCACGTACTGTTTTGGCTATAGGACAGGAAGAGAAGGAAAATCTCCCCAATGGGACACAGATGGCAAAAAAACCCTGAGGTTATAACCCTCTCTTAGTCTATTTAAAATGAAAAAGAAAAAGTTTTGCCTTTAATTCTGTATTAAGGATCAGAGCTAAAGCTCGAAACCTGGTTGTTTTTCCATGTAATGTGAGTACCCTGTTATGTTTACCAGTTGCTGACCCAGTTTGTCTCCTGATTGTGGCTTTTTCCTGTGTTCCAGTTGCTGGTTGTGTACCTGGTTTTGTCTCCTGATCTTGGATTATTCCTGTCTACCAGTTGCTGACCTGGTTTGTATCTTGATTGTGGCTTTTACCTGTCTACCAGTTGCTGACCCGAGTTTCGTCTCCTGATCGTAACTTTTTCCTGTCTACCAGTTGCTGACCCAGGCTTGTCTACTGATCTTGGCTTTTTCCTGTCTACCAGTTGCTGACCCGGTTTGTTTCCTGATCGTAACTTTTTCCTGTCTACCAGTTGCTGACCCAGGTTTGTCTCCTGATCTTGGCTTTTTCCTGTGTACCAGTTGCTGATCTAGTTTGTCTCCTGATCGTGACTTTCTTTTGTCTCCCAGTTGCTGACCTGGTTTGTCCCCTGACTGTAGCTTTTTCCTGTTAACCAGTTGCTGACCCAGGTTTGTCTCCTGATCTTGGCTTTTTCGTGTCTTCCAGTTGCTGACCTTATTTGTCTCCTGATCTTGGCTTTTTCCTGTCTACCAGTTGCTGACCCAGGTTTGTCTCCTGATCTTGGCTTTTTCCTGTCTACCAGTTGCTGACCTGGTTTGTGTCCTGATCATGACTTTTTCCTGTCTACCAGTTGCTGACCCAGTTTGTCCACTGATCTTGGGGTTTTCCTGTCTATTAGTTGCTGAGGGGTTTGTCTCCCGATCATGGCTTTTTCCTGTCTACCAATTGTGGACCTGGTTTGTCCCCTGTCCATGGCTTTTTCCTGTCTACTAGTTGTGGACCTGGTTTGTCTCCTGACCATAGCTTTTTCCTGTCTTCCTGTTCCTGACTCAGGTTTGTCTCCTGATCATGGTTTTTTTCCTGTCTACTAGTTGCTGACCTGGCTTGTCTTCTAACCAAAACCGATTTCCAGCCTGTCTGGTTCCATCTTTAGCCAGCTATTGGTCTCAGCCTTACCAAGCTTTGCCTTCCAGCTCAACCACGGTCTTCTGATCCTGATCCGTCTGTTGGTCCTCATGAGTACCACACATTCAAGTCTTCCTTTGCAGGTTCTCTCTCTAGGCCAGTCTGGATTTTCGGCACCCAGGCCACTCTGGGCTCCTACACCCCATGACACTACTCCAGGGGTGTTTGGGCTAGAGGTATAAAAGGAAGCCCCCTTGACCAGGTATGTGATACCTAGTGGTCTCTTGGGAAAAATAACAACAAAAAAAACTTTTATCTACCAAAGCATCTGATTGCACATAAATCCAACTCTTCCTTTTCCCACCAGCCCCGGAGAAAGGACAGTTGGCAGATGACTGGTTATATGAACATTCCTTACAGCCTACACTTTCAGATACTTTTTGTCATAAAACTCATATTGATCATAACACAACACCTGCAGTGTTTTGCATTTTTACCAGTAGATGGCAATGTATGACTGTGGCTGAGAATAGGAACCACTCAAACAGGGCACTAGTTTTTAGACTAGTCTTTGCTGTAGATGTTGAGTGTAAAGCAGGTCATGCATTGGGGTTGATTTACTAAAGGCAAATAGACTGTGCACACTGCAAGTATAGTTGCTCCAGAGCTTAGTAAGGCTACATTCACACTAGCTTTGTCAGCAGGCATCAGACAGGCATTTGGGAAGCGTTTTTAACGCTTCTCAAACGCCTATGAAAATTCTGCACATGGCAGCACACAGTGCTGTTCACACTGAAGCGTAGCATCGCATTCTGTCGCGGCAAAACTGATGCCTCATGTTGAGTCAGGAGGAGTTGAAGCCTCCCATTCAAGTCTATGGTGCCGCTCCTCAAATGCTTGGCAGGCGTTTGCGACGCGGTTGCGGAGTGTTAATACCATTTAACTTTATTATAGGCGCATGGTTTTAACGCTTGGCAAACGCCTATCAAATGCCTCAAAACCGCTCATAGGGCGTTTGGGGAGCGTTAAAACTGCTTCCCAAACCCCTGTCTAACGCCTGTCAAATGCTATAGGGGTGTTTGGCAAGAGTTAGAAGTGTGAACAAGCCCTAAATGAGGTAAAGTGTAACTTTATAAACAATCACGTGCAAGGAAAATAATAAGGAAAATAATCATTTACTAAGCTCTGGAGCAACTGCACTGGCAGTGTGCAACTGCGCTTTGCAAAGTGCACAGTCTATTTGCCTTTAGTAAGTCAACCCCACTGAGTGAATGCTTCTGATGAACTGGCCAAAATTCTCTTTGTAGATGGCCCTGTCAGTTCCCTCCCGCCCGATATCCTTTGACCGCAAAATTTTTGGCTGGAGAGCAGTTGCATCCAATAAAATGTAGCTGCTGTTTGATTATTCAATAGCAGGCACTGTACATTCATTCAACCGCACTGTATAGTGTGGATGGGGGAATCCCTTTGATTTTTTTATTCAGCCTGTAGCCTGAATGAAAAAAATCTACTAGTGTTTGGCCAGCTTTAGATGGACCTTGTACTGCCAGATAATCCTTTATTGAGCCTTTGATAGGCATTGATAAATATTCCCCAAGTATTTTTTAGCATCTGTTGCATTTTCCATATAGTTTTAGATTGCCCACAGTGCGTACCAAGGGATAGCATAGGGCAGTAGACGGGCATTTATTTTTTTAATGTTTGTTGTAGCTCATGATTCTCTAAATCAGTGGCCTCCAAACATCATGTCCTGTAGCTGTGTGTAAGGTAAATGATACATGTGTAATAATATAGAAGGATAGAAAAACTATTTAACAAACAGAACATTAACATGTATAGCAAAATGAGTGCATAAAGCTGGCCAAGCTGACCTTATTCCCCCATCCACATCGAGTGTGTGGATGGAGATTCCTTCACACTGTATCATTGTATTCTGACAGTGGGGAGACTTTCTTGCATCAGAATACACAGATCATCCCTGCAGTCTATTGCCTGCAGCACTGACTGAGCAAGAACAGAAGTTGGTGGAACAGAAGTCGATTAGTAGATTCACTTCCGTTCAACCACAGTGGCCACACATGGATCAAGATTTGTATGGTCCAGGGGCGGACTGACAATTCATGGGGCCCCCGGGCAATAGGGGATCATGGGACCCCTGTGTCTTGCCCAAACTCAAAAAAGCCTATGAAAAAGGTACCAGGGGCATATCATGGGGCCCCCTACTGACCCCGGGCCCTCGGGCAGTGCCCGAGTTTCCAAATGGTCAGTCCGCCCCTGGTTCGGTCCCTGCTGAACTGGCGGATTTCAGTCCATGTATACAGATTCAGCAGAAGTTCAGTCCAGCATTAAAAGAGCCACTGCATTAAAAGATAATGATGAGGATAATAATAATGAGAATAAGAATGGTTAAAAGTATTGTGCGATAATGCACTTTAAGTGCATCAATTCGCTGGGTGCCATAAACTGTGAAGTTTCCATCATAGAAGGACTGACATCAGGATCGTGGCCGGTCAAAGATCTCCTGTGCACTAAAAAGTAGTATATACATAAGAAGTATTTACATACATATCTATAGAAATACAGATAGGACAGCCAAGATCAAAACTGAATGAAAGAGTTCAAGATAAATTTAACTGCTGGCAAAAAAAAGGGTCAACATGTTTCAGGGACACCACTTTCCCTTCATAAGAGCTACAAAAATAAACTTTAAAGCATAGCCATAATGAAAGCTGATGTCTAGATCTGAATATGAGTTCTCTATATACTACAAATTCTAAAACATCACATAATAACAACAACAAACTTGTCACATGAACTTTAGTTATCTTCATTTAACTTAGTTGTCTTGAATTAGAAATGTTAAACAATACAAATTATAAACATAATAGAACATCAAATACAGAAAGGAGATATAGTATATAATGACATGTAAAATGTTACATTTGTATCATTTGTATATTATACATCTGCTTTCTTTTGTTGATGGTTTACTATGTATACCATTTGTATCTTTTAACATTTCTAATTTAATTAAAGCGGAGTTCCACCCAAAAGTGGAAGCTCTGCTTGTTTGCCTCCTCCCCCCCCCCCCCCCCCCTCCACTCAATATTTGCCAACTTTTTAGGGAGGGGAAGCGGGTACCTGGTTTTGACAGGTACCCGCTCCCACTTCTGGCTCAGTTTTCCGCGGCCAATTGAGTCATAGGTTGGACACCCTCCTTCCTCCCATAGTCTCCTGGGAACTTTCACAGGTTCCAGAAGACTGCCGGACCAATCAGCATGTGCAGCGCAACTCGCACATGTGCAGTAGGCACCCGGCTGTGAAGCCGCAAGCTGTCATAGCCTGGTGCCCACATTTGAGATGCCAGCGCCGTGGAGAGAAGAGACGGTGCGGGTGAGAACATCGCTGGACCCAGGGACAGGTAAGTGTGTGTTTACTAAAAGTCAGCAGCTACAGTTTTTTGTAGCTGCTGACTTTTATTAAACACAAAAACAGCTGGAACTCCGCTTTAAGACAAATAAAGCACATGTGACAAGTTTTTGTTATTATGTTATGTTGTAGAATTTGCAGTTTAGAATGTAAAGCACTGTGCAAACTGTTGGCGCTATACAGCATAAAACCAGTAATAATAATTATAATATACTATTACAGAATGCATATCCAGACATCATTATCACTGTGTTTTATGTTTATTCTTGTAACCCTGATGAAGGGGGAGCGGTGTTGCCCTCGAAACACATTGGATGTTTTTATATGAGTTTGCTGCGTACAATTAAAATGATCTTGGACTCTTATCTGATTTTTGTCAGGTGCTCCTTTCAGTATTTTTATGCTTTGAGCTACTCTTGGGTGCCCATCAAGGGAAGTCTTGTCGTGTGGGAGTCACCACACCAGAGCTATTGAGCTTGTTTGAAGTTTTCCCTCATCTGACCACATGTGCAAGTCTATGTTCCCAGTGCCTCTTTTAGTATGTTCTTCGGGAACATTTGCTCATATGTCTTAGCAGTGTAGATATATTGCTCTCTGAACTTCTGCTACAGACTGCCTAATACTGTCAGACTTCCCAGAGTTCCTCCTCCTTAAAACCTTAAGTAGTTGAGGTTTGCAGTTTTATTTAAAACAATAGTTTATATTACGTTTATAGAATAATTATGCACAATGGCATTAATCATTTTGACATAATAATAATAATAAAAAAAAAAAAAAAAAAAACAAATATCTTTATGGTCAGTATTATTATAATTATTGCTACTACAACTATGACATTTATCCAAAGCACTGGTCCCTAGTAGTCTGACTATCCTGATAGCTCTCCTGTTGCCTTGCCTTGATTTAGGAATACTTTTTGTTAAAGTAGAAGTCGGGTTAAAAACTAAACTTAATTCTGCTCCGAGCCCATTCTAATCCCTATATTAGCTACCCTGTAGAGAAAAGATGCTTATACTTACCTGTTTCCAGTCTGGTCATGCGATCTCCCCAGTGTCCTGCTTCAGTGTTGAGAAGAGACCATCAACAATGACTGCAATGCCTATGCGATCATGTCACCAATAGGTTTACTATGGGGCATCCGTTGTCAGTTGGTCCTCCTCTACAGTGAAACCAACGCTGGAAGCTAATCATGTGACCGAACTGAAGCAGCCAGAGAATATATAAGTACAGTATATGAATCTTTCCTCTACAGCAGGGGTCTCTAAACTGCGGCCCATGGGCTGAATGCAGCCCTTTGCTTGCCCTTTTCCAGTCCATGGGGCACTATTCAACAAGGAGGCATCATTCCTTCCAATGACATCAACAGTGGGGAACCATATCTCTCAGTGACACCAGCAATGAGGCATTTTTCCTTTCATTGGTATAAACAATTAGGCCCTATTGCCCCAGTGATAATAATGATGGGGCACTATTCCTCCCACTAATACCAATAATGGGGCACTATTTCTCCCACTAATACCAATGATGGGGCACTATTCCTCCCACTAATACCAGTGATGGGGCACTATTCCTCCCACTAATACCAATAATGGGGCACTATTCCTCCCACTAATACCAATAATGGGGCACTATTTCTCCCACTAATACCAATGATGGGGCACTATTCCTCCCACTGATACCAATCATGGGGCACTATTCCTCCCACTAATACCAATCATGGGGCACTTTTCCTCCCACTAATACCAATCATAGGTCACTATTCCTCCGACTAATACCAATAATAGGACACTATTCCTTCCACTAATACCAATAATGGGACACTATTCCTCCCACTAATACCAATCATGGGACACTATTCCTCCAACTAATACCAATAATGGGACACTATTCCTCCCACTAATACCAATAATGGGACACTATTCCTCCCACTAATACCAATAATGGGGCACTATTCTTCCCATTAATACCAATCATGAGGCACTATTCCCCCCATTAATACCAATAATAGGACACTATTCCTCCCACTAATACCAATAATGGGACACTAATACTCCCACTAATACCAATGATGGGGCACTATCCCTCCCACTAATAGCAATGATGGGGCACTATTCCTCCCTCTAATACCAATAATGAGGCACTATTCCTCCCACTAGTACCAATAATGGGGCACTATTCCTCCCAGTAGCATCATTGATGGGGCACTATTCCTCTCACTAATACCAATAATAGAACACTATTCCTCCCACTAATATCAATGATGGGGCACTATTCCTCCCACTAATACCAATGATGGGACACTATTCCTCCCAATAATATCAATCATGGCGCATTATTCCTTCTCCAAGCCCAAGACATTGTTTACTCCCACTGACACCGGGGCATTTTTTTATTCCCACTGGCCACTCTGGCCCCCCAAAAGACTGAAGAGCAGTAAACTGGCCCTATGTTTAGAAAGTTTGGAGACTACTGCTCTACAGGATATTTAGCTTAGGGCTTAGAATGAGGTTGAGGGCAGGTTTAGGCTTTGACTGGACTTCTAGTTTAAGATCAATGAACGTTGACACTACCAGCTGGTGCAGAGAGCTTCAATTGGGGGACCACATGAAAATTTTGTTATGGGGCTCCAGGACTCTTAGATAAGGTCTTTGGTACCATTCATTTCAAATGTATCTCCAATGCATTAAACAACACACCTAAGTTGCAGCGATCTGCAAAGTACGACTATGCACTCTAGAAAACTGGGTCCGTTGAGGTTTTGCTTGCAATGCATTGGTATACAACTTCCTTGTTTTCTTCTCATGATACAAATTTGTTAATTTGTTTTAAAAATTCTTGCTGAGAATTTTGAGAATTAGACTGGCCACAAACTGCCTGCACTCTCAATTTTAATCAGAGATAATTATGGAATTTCCTAGTGGATGATAAAGAGCACATGAGGCAGATGGAGGCACTTGTGATCAACCAGGAACATTTTTTCATATTGTCAAAAAATGTCCCTTCATGTGAAGCCAACTGACACTGACTCGTTCGAGTTCTTTGTTTGTCTGTGGTCAATTGTGGTTAAAACATCCTGTTTTTCTTCTGACAACCAGCTCAGCTACTTATCATCAGCTTCTTTTTTAGTCCATAGTTCCCAGGAACTGAACACCTTGTTTACGTGTAGGAGGGAAAGGTCTACAATTAACAATGACCTCTGTAGACTGGTAGTCTCCTTTTAGGTAATTCCCCACCCCCCACAGTCCCCTTTTTGGGGATGACCTTCATATCTCCTAAAATGCGTCAACATTTTTTGAAGGATTGCCAGACCAGTATGCATGTCACAGTTCACCAACATGTCTTGTATGTGTTATTAGTATTTACATAGCAAGCTTTCTGTGAAATATAAAAGAATGCAATGTGCAACAAAGTATAACAAAACAAACCTATCTACATATCTGTAAATCGATCTACCTTTCTCTATTTTATCACTCATTCTGTTTGTCTGTCTATATAGGTATACAGGTGAACAGATACCGTCTTAAGAAAGTGTAAAAGACCTAGATAGATAGATGAATAGACAGATAAATATTGTAGATAGATAATAAACTAGTAGCTGTTTTCCAGGTTCTCATTAGCTTCTCTGATGTGAAAAGTTTGTTGTATATAGAGCTCAGTAGCTCAAACTGAACATACACACAGGTAAATATATCTAAACAATGAATGACCCCCATACTCAGATGGTTGCAGCACACTTCTATTCTGTATTGCTTCTCAAGCAGGATACACAGTAACAGTTCCTGCAGCACACTCATTTTATGTATTTCTTCTCAAGCTTGAAAGGTCCTCCAATTGTATTTCTACACAGCA